ATTATACCATATATTCCATATTATTTAAAAAAATCTCCTTCCTTATTTTTTAATACCATAGTTAATCTAATCATTTATGTGCATTGATGGATTTTGGTAATTACTGCCAGATCTGTGGGTATCATGGTTGATTTCCAATTTTGGGCAAAAGCAATTCTTGCAGCTGTTATGTATTAGGTGTTGGTACTTCTTGTCCCGTGTTGGTTCTAACATTCCCAACAGAAAAATCTCTGGTTTAAACTTAATCTTTTTTTTTATTAACTCTTCTAGCCATGATTGAATTTTGAGCCAATACTTTCGCGCTTGGGGACATGTCCACCAGATGTGAAAATACGCTTTCTGGCTGTGGTTGTACTTCCAACATTTAGCTGACAAGTTAGGGAACATTCTAGCTAGTCTCACTGGTGGCAGGTGCTACCGATAAAACATTTTATAGATATTTTCCTTATAAGAGACGGACAACATTAGTTTATTGATTTGCCATATTCTTTCCTATTGGTCTAAATCAATACTGTGGCCAAACTTTTGGCCCATATATTCTCTTTGACCGTCTCCTCTTCCATTTTAAATTCCAATAAGTAATTGTACATCACTTATTACTTATTAATGTACAATTCTTTATAACATTTCTATTCGACTCAGTAAACTAACTGCTGTATAAATTTTATTACCCTAACAGTAGGATAAGGTTTTTTCTTATCAGTATTGCTAATACAATGCTGTAGAATCATTTAGTCATTTTTTTAAAAAAATAAAGCTTTCCCTTCAAAATGACCATAAAATTTTAAAAATGATTTTGAAAAAACAAGTATTTGCTTTTATTTATCAGATACATTATTTCTAGCAAGACATGATATACTTACAAAGGCACATCTTCAGAAGATCCAATTTGATGCTACAAAAGCTCTCTCATTAGCTCTTCAAATTAGCAGGTTCATCATATTATAGCTTTTTGTTCACAAACCTATGCTTAACAACTTGGCTCCCTCCCCTATCAAACAGCCTTCCAGATCACAGCTGCATTGTATTGTCTACCCACTACTTGAACTCATTGAAGACATAATTAATTTGAAAACAAAAAGAGTGGGCTGACTTGCAAAAAAAATCAGAATTCTGCACCTGTTTCTGCAGAAATACTGCCAGTATAAAATGTGGTCCTTAATCTATCAGAATCCTTGTGAATTATGGTTTCTACTTTCTTCTCTGGAAATTGCCACAAACATTATAATAATTATTGTATTAAATAAAATCAATTATTAGATAACAGAACTTGTGAATGACTTCAGTGCATATGTATACACACACACACACACACACAAACACACATATATACACATATACATACATACATACATATACATACATACATTCATTCATACATACATATATATATTTGTTTTCGTAGATTTTCATGGGTACTGGTATGTAGGTCTAGGTGTGTTCGGGTCTTTTCCCGTGTAAGATTAGGAGTATCTTGGCGACGTTTCGATGAGGTCCCACTCGCCATCCTCAGGCTGGTGCTTTCGGCTTCGTGCCAGTGCAAGCACTGCACGTCGCCAAGATACTCCTAATCTTACACGGGAAAAGACCCGAACACACCTAGACCTACACACACACACACACACACACACACACACACACACACACACACATAAATTACATTATATACAAAATGTACTGCAGTCCTTCACATGTTATGGGTTAAAATGAATCACAATTCTAATAATTGATTTTATTTAATACATTTATATATTTAATGTTATATATAGATACAAGTATGAATATACAGTAGTTAGTTAATAGCTTTTAAAGTGAATTCTGAAAATCTTGTTACCACTGATTTCTATGAGACGTAAACATTAATTCTAAACATGCTTGTCTGGAATTAAATTCCACTGAGCTCAATTGGACTTATTCTAAATTAAAAACAAAACAAAACACCCACTGCAAGTCTTATGACATGTGAATGATTAACAAATGTCTTAATGGCATAAATTCCTATGGACCTTTACTAGATTTAATTTATATTTTTTGAGAATATTTTTAGAAAAATTTGATTGCCATATTCATATTTATTATTATAGGATATATTGTCCTTGAATGTTCTTCCAGAAAAATAGATGAATTAGATGAATCTTGGAAGTGAAAATCCATGCTTATAATTTCCCTTAATATCTGGGAAAACCTGTAGTTCTTTAATTTTTCTCCCCAGGACTATGGCCAAACATTTCATTGCTAAGTTATTATCTGCTTTATGAAACCAGAAACTTAAACAGGAGGCAATTATTATTATTTTTAATTTCTTAAGATTAACATATGGCTTTTAATATTTGAGGACAATATGTCACTGGAAAAAGGAATATCTATAGATTGATCTAAGACAGACTTGTGCATTTTACAGTTCTCCAGGCCACATCTGGCCCAGTGGTGGGATTCAATTTTTTTAACTACCGGTTCTGTGGGCATGGCTTGGTGGGCCTGGCGGGGGAAGGATACTGTAATATCTCCAATCAGAGGTGGTATTTGCCGGTTCTCTGAACTACTCAAAATTTCCACTACTGGTTCTCCAGAACTGGTCAGAACCTGCTGAATACCACCTCTGATCTGGCCCTTTGGCTGTCTCTGTCTGGCCTGTGTGAGGTCAACTGGAAATTAGAAGTCAAATATCAATAAACATGCCATCGTGGATGGGAGAAAGGAATGAATAAGATATTGTTCTCTTCAATCATCCCTTGTGCTCCTTCAATTGGCTGGTGACCATGGGAGGGAAAGGAGAGAAAGCAATTTTCTGTGACTGCGCAGCACTCACCCCTCACCTGGATCAGCGTGAGGTGACAGCAGTGGTTATTTGTGAGGGATCTGGGCTCAGGTCACCACTGCCTAGGTTAAAGCATGGCCTTGCAAGCAAGTGTAGTCTGAAGCTATTGTGCCACCACTCCATAACAGTTCCAGTTTCTCAGGTTCCCCAGTCCCCAGTGGACCCTTGGGAACATTAATTAGCCACCCCTGATTTAAGAGCATAGTTTCATCTTTCTTAGTGTTAGTCATATAACTGTTTTGTCCACCTTCTATATTCATTTGTATTTATTTATTTTAAAAAAGATGCATGGAACTTTGACTTCACGCATATTTGTATCTCTCTCTGTGTGTATGTATGTGTATAGAAAAGCATTCATATTATATATGCATGTGTGTATAATAATATCAAAACATACATTTTGGTATTAAACATATGTTCATATATGTTTACATGTGAACATAAAATTTGTATATGATTAAAATGCATTTTAAATAAGAGTTAAAGCAGAATACTTCTTCCACAAATCTCAAATAAAGCTGCAAGGACAAATGTATTCCAATTGACAATTCAATTCAAAAGTGCAAATGAATGTAGTTTGTATTCAGATGCACTAGCATTTTTGGAAATTTTGTTTCCAAAAACAGCAGTAGCAAACCTCAAACCATGTTGGCTTTAGCAAAGAAAAACAAAGCAAATGTCTAAAGAACAAATTTTTAGATGTATACTATGAATTGATAAATACCCAAAGCTTGGTACAACCATATCACAGTTTATTCTGAGTCACTGCTTTAGAAAATGAGCATCTAACTTACAGTATTAGTTATGCAAATAGAATAGAATAGAATAACAGAGTTGGAAGGGATCTTGGAGGTCTTCTAGTCCAACCCTCTGTCTAGGCAGGAAACCCTACACCACTTCTGACAAATGGTTATCCAACATCTTTTTAAAAACTTCCAGTGTTGGAGCATTCACAATTTCTAGAGGCAACTCGTTCCACTGATTAATTGTTCTAACTGTCAGGAAATTTCTCCTTAGTCGTAAGTTGCTTCTCTCCCTGATTAGTTTCCACCCATTGCTTCTTGTCCTGCCCTGAGGTGCTTTGGAGAATAGATTGAGTCCCTCTTCTTTGTGGCAGCCTCTGAGATATTGGAACACTGCTATCATGTTTCCTCTTGTCCTTCTTTTCACCCTGCAACCGTTCTTCATATGTTTTAGCCTCCAGTCTAGTGGTGGGATTCAAACTTTTTTACTACTGGTTCTGTGGGCACGGCTTGGTGGGCATGGCAGGGGAAGGATACTGTAAAATCTCCAGTTCAGATGTGGTATTTGCCGGTTCTCCAAACTACTCAAAATTTCCACTACCAGTTCTCCAGAACTAGTCAGAACCTGCTGAATACCACCTCTGCTCCAGTCCCCTAATCATCTTTGTTGCTCTTCTCTGCACTCTTTCTAGAGTCTCAACATCTTTTTTACATCGTGGCAACCAAAACTGAATGCAGTATTCAAAGTGTGGCCTTGCTTCCATTTGATTTTTTAAATGTCCCTTTTGTGGCTCTTTTTGTAATTCTAATTTGAGTTTTTTGTGTTCTTCCTCTGACATCTTTTGATGTTATTGTTTTTTTTTCTAATTTTTCTCGTTATGTAAGTTATAGCTAATCCCCTGATATATGTTTTGGCTGTATCCCATAGGTTTTGCAGTGAAGTCTCTTCTTTTTTATTCTCCTTAAAGAAGAATTCCATTTCTTTTACTGTTGTTTGTATAAATTCTTTATCTTTTAGTATAGATTGATTCAATAGCTATCTCAACCTTTTCTTTTGCCCCTTCCAACTGACTTTTATTGGGTTATGGTTGGCTCATATATTGGTTTCTATCTCTATCTCTTGCACATTTGTTCTCAATTCTGACATCCATATTGTATCAATTCTAGACCATAGTTTGTGCCTATTTGAATAGAATGTGTACTGGTTTTGTTGTATTCACAGACTGACTATAGTCCTCAGTCCGGTCCGCGTTTCTGGCGGGAGCGCAGACCGCTCCCATTGGTTGATGCTGTTTGACAGCCAGCTATAAAAGGAGCTGTCAAACGGCATCAGCTGTTGCCGCCAGCTGACTGCCTGTTAGCCCCGGCAGCCGCGGCAACCCTTTATTCTTGGAATAAAGCTTCTTATCTGTTAGCTCCGTGTCTGCCTCAGTATTTACCGCCGCTCCACAACAGTTTTTCCCCTGGATTTGTTTCTCTCCATATATTCTGTATATGTTTCCTAAAAGCCAAATATTTATAGGCAAAATTAAATTTTACATGTTATCAGGTTTTTATTATTTATGAGTGTAATTTATACAAGCTATTACACTTAAATATGTTATATTTTTCAACAGATTATTAACATTTTAACCAGGGGTGGGATTCAGTTTTTTAAATAATCGGTTCTGTGGGCATGGCTTAGTTGGTGGGTGTGGCTTGTTGGTCATGTGATTGGGTAGGAGTGGCCAACTCGACATCACTCATGTCAAGAGGCGCTTCCCCTCGTCTGGCCTCTCATGATAGTATATCATAGATTCTGCAACGATCAAAAATGTGAAAAATGGTCATAAGTCACTTTTTTCAGTGCTATTGTAACTTTGAATGGTCACTAAATGAGCTGTTGTAAGTCAAGGATTACCTGTACAAAAAGCTTCTTTGCTTGCAAAAAGGTGCCCTAAATACCAATCATTAGATTAAAAATACCTGCAAAGTGGAGTTACAAATCAGGTAGGGTGCCAGAGCACCTTGAGGAATGAAAATATTTAAAATGCAGTGATAACTATCAAGCAGCCAACTCTTGCTCATAAAGTGAAACCCTTTAACAGAGAGGTCATTTAAGCTCTCCAGAAAGAGCACACCCGGGAGAAGCAATCCTTAGATCCATTTAAACACTTAAAAATACCAGCCGGTCTCACTCACCTCACAAAATATCCTAAGGAAATCACCCAGATTTAAGGAAAGGTCACATGCCTCCCAGAAAGGCAGTAAAAAAAAATCAGTGCCAAACTTGCATCCTGCCTCTTGGAAGTATACCCCAAAAGGACAGTACCAGATAGTATTAAAGCAGTGAAGGAAGACCCCCTCCCCAAATAGAAAACGAAACCATAAGGCAAGAAAAAATTCAAACACAATACAAATAATTAAATCACAACAGTAGCTGTTGTTTGTTGAAGCTGAATAGAGAAAATTATCACATTAATAAACACAGGATTAAACTTCACCAAGCACAGAATTAATCTTCACCAAAAGCCAGTTTTAGACCAAAACTCAGAAAGAGTATGTAAACTCACGTTTGAATGTCAATCCTTCTAGCTAGCCAAGAAGCCTTGCTGAATGTCACTCATCTTGTTTCCCTGTCATTAAAAGCTTTGCTTCATTATTCAACTATTTCTTCAAAGTGCTGATTGTCCAGGGAAGTATTTCCTCCCAACAGCAGTGTAAAAACCTTAAAACAACCCTTCCCCTTTAAGAAAGCCAAGCCTCACAAGCTCCAGGGACAGGAAGTCTAGGCTGTCTGCCAAGAATGTAATAAGGATGGGGGGGGGAAAAACGGAGATTGCTTCTAACTACCAGTTCTCAAAACTACTTAGAAAGTTAACAAGGGGTTCTATAGAACCAGATAGAACCTGTAGAATCCCACCCCTGATTTTAACACATTTATATCTTATCTGAATTGAACAAAATTACTTCAAAAACTTGCAATATTACTTCATGTCTATTATTCTGTGTGAAAAATAATATTTGCAATGTGAAAGATTTGGTCTTTTTTTTAAATAAACAAAATACTTACTGTAAACTGTATTTGGCAGCCACCCATTATGTAATCTAAGAATGAATGCATCTTGTGAATCTGGAGGGGAAAAAGTCAGAAATTTGGGTTTAAAACCATGTGTTCTTAAATATTTTTCCTTTGTGTTATATGGGAATGTATATCTTTGTAGCCATTAGTAATTTAGAAAACATTGAGAATAAGTGATACAGGAAATAATGTCCCTCATGTTAAAAGTAAATATTCTTTCCTTCTCCCTATCTTTACATAAAGGAGGAAAAAGAAGTCTTTTAATGCTAAGAATCATAGCATAGAATTATTTTGGAAGATAGTTGAAAATTATGTAATCATATGGGGTTACCTTTTAATGGGAATGGATTTGGGATTTCCCAAAATGGACAATGTTCTATGTCTCAAAGGTGGTTGAAAAAGCACCTTTGGGACAACCATGACCTGGATGCCTGAGAATCTCCATATATGATGTTCTATGGTTCAATGCCACATTTAGGGTTGCTACAATATCCCAAAGTCAGTGCACCATTGATAGTAAAACTTAAGACAGATCTATATGTCATGTGAAGTGTTGGAGGAATGAGAAAAGGAACATTCTGTTGCTATTGTTGCTGCTTGCTTAACTTGTGCTTGCTCATCTTGCGCTTGCTTATTTTTCAGAGCAGTTAGGGACACCAATGAGTGTCTTAGAAAAAGAAGTTCCACTAATTTCTTTGCAAATGCAGAAGGGAATAAAATAGTTTGATCTGTTTTAACATCATCTGTGGGAATTCCACAATATTTCTTCAAAGTCAATTTGCTTATGACCCTCTCAAGCCAAGCACTATCACAAGGAGCTATTTATATCTACAGGTAGTCCTCAACTTACAATAGTGCATTTAGTGACTATTCAAAGTTACAATGGCACTGAAAAAAATAACTTATGACCATTTTTCACACTTATGATCATTGCAGTATGCCCATAGTCAATGAGATCAAAATTCAGATGGTTGGTAACTCACTCATATTTATGATGGTTAGAGTGTCCCAGGGTCATGTGATCACCTTTTTTACCTTCTGACAAGCAAAGTCAATGGGGATTTTAAAACCTTGTTACTAACTTAACAACTGCAGTGATTCACTTAATAACTGTGGAAAGAAAGTCGTAAAATGGGGCAAAGTTCATGTAACAAATGTGTCACTTAGTAACATAAATTTTGGGCTCAATTTTGGTCATAAGTAGAGGACTACCTGTATTTTCCTTGTGGAGTAGGCCATCCTTTCCTAAGGTGATACATGTGGACTGCACTAGAAAAAATCCCCAAGCTTCCATCTCTCTTGATATCCTTTCATTGCGAATTATAGTTCATTGGAATAATAAACTGTGTTCTTTTCTGTGGAGGGCTTGTAGAACTATTAATTACAAAATGTTGTACAACTATTTTGCCCTTTATTGCCTAATTTTTAAATTGTTCATTTTGGTCTAATGAAAAAATAGATAAGTGTATAGGTAAACATAGATGAATAATAACATCTTGCCAAATTCTCAGAATATAAACAGTAAGATAAAAAGATGTGGATTTCGCTTGGTAAATCTTGACATCTGCTGATTAGATGGACACATTTCTGTAACTTTCCTGAAATAACACAGAAATGGTTTGTTTCTGGTTTCTTCCAAGTTGTTTTTCCTTAAAAAAAAAGCTTCCCATAGTCCTGAGAATTTCTGGTGCCTCTGATCCATATATTAACCAGATTGGACAATATCTCAATTAATGTCTCAATTACAATATTTTTTTCTCACTCCTCCATCTGGATGCCCATTGGTTACATTTCCAGCAATTTCAGGCTAACCATCATTTGGACTTTTCTTTTTCATTTAAAACCAGTGCAATTAATTATGGATTAACTTCAATGTATTCTGAGGTTAGATTTATTAAATCCCATTTTCTTGTTTTATTAGATTATCCATTTAATTCCTGTACTGTGAGCACAACAAAGTTAAATGATGGCGCTATATCCTTGGCTTATATTATCTAGGTTCAGAAACTAAGCAAGATTGCTTTAGTTAGTATTTGCATGGGAAACTACCAAGATTAGCAGATATTATCTAAAAATCAAAACATGTCCTCAAAGATGTCAAATACCAAGGCAACTCTATTGATATGCCCAGAGATCACCAGAATTTAATCTTAACTCAGAAACTTCAATGGTATCTTTTAATATAATTAAGCAAATGTATTCCTTTGAATATACTTGGCTAACAGATTGACTGTATGACGGTCAATGCCCATTTTGGATCTGCAGCTGTCAACCCAATGAAAATGTTGATCTACCTTTATGTAGCAACATCTGTTATCCTACCTTTGGGAATCCTACAATATGCATTTTTATGACATCTTCTATTTTTGACACATATAAAAATCTACAAAATATGGACAGCAGAACTTAATTCCCTCTCCTGTATTTACTTTTGTCATGGATGTTGAAAACAATATTTTCACATTCATTATTAAAGCACTGCTTAAATAAAAGCACCTTGCACAGATTAAGAATGACGATGCCAGAATTTTTGTAATTCTTCTTCTTTACTTTATACTTGGGGTTTATACACTCCCATTGAATCTGTGAAAACACAAGTCAGAGCATGAAAGTCATGTTTTCATTTATCATTTACTCAGATCACATAATGTGCAGTTGAATCTATACAATACATCACACAAAACAACCACAAGCAATCAGAACAAATGCATAAATATAATTTCAGCTACTTGAGAATGTTGCTAAATTTGATTTGGTATGCTCTAATTGCAAAGCTGTTCTAGTATGGGCATATGCTATTCTATCATTCCATCACTGACCAACATCTAAAATCATAAAATGTAGGACATGACAGAGATGGTCAAAAACCATATTGATTGCTGATCTGCAAATGAAATTTGTTCTGAGTTTATAGAAAATGAATTTTATGAACTTAATGGTATTTTGAACCATTACGCAAGACTGCACAGGAAGGAGGAGAGACATGTTAGTCTATGGTGACCAAAGAAGTCTAGTAGCATCTTTTTGACAAATACAATTTATTAAAAGGCATACAATTTTGTGAGCATTCTTTAAACCAGGAGTTAGCACCCTTTAACAACCCCCAAAGACTCAGCATTGCTTACATATATACATTGGCTGAGATCTGTCTTTTACCATTGTTTTTGTTTCTTTGTTTGTTTTCTCATTTCATGTTTACATTTTCCAAGCCTGTTTTAGAGCTTTGGTATGTTTCTGCATCAAAATCAGAACTCAGTCTTCTGAATATTGGAAACGTAGATACTGAAGATAACAGCAGGCTGTAGCAACTAGTCAATCTTGGGGAATTCAAAAACACTAAGTAGAGTCAGATCTGCTTATTAATTAAAGGGCAACCACAAAGAAACTCTAGGGACATAAGCTAGAATCAGAAGTTTTAAAAAATGGAAAGAATGCAATCAATGATAACCCATCTGTATGTTGTTGCCAAGAAAATTGCATAATCTTGTCCGTTTAGTCCACAGGAAAGAATTTTGCTTTGAGGAAGACTTTTCTTTGAGAGCTAGGAAAGTCTCCAGGAACTCTCAAAAAAGAAGTTTTAACAACACCACACTGAGATTGGAAGTTCCCTTTTACTAATAAAATAGTAAAAGTAGAATCAAAGGTATTATTGTAAATGTTCTGTAATTAATTTCTCCTTATGTTTGGAGTATCTGCTGTTTGGCTTTAAATGGAAGGAGTATTAAGGTCTTTGGATTTAAGAGCTGACCAGCAGTGAAGCTGATGCAATATGGGGCTGATGTAACAAGGATGAATCAGCATAGTATGGGTATTTTCCTTTAAGACTGGCCCTTTAAGAGGTATTTATATAAAGGCAGCCATTAGAGGGCATGTTCTCTCTCCTTATTCATTGCAGAGTTCTCCATATAGAGTTAAGAAGATTGCTTGCTTGTAAGGTACATGCCTACCACTTATATTTCTGTATACATCTTATATATAAACCACTGTTAAATGTCTAAGTTTCTGTGTTTTGCTCTTGGGTTGTCTCATAATAGCAGTCATGCTGCAAATGCTCTGACATTGCCTGAGCAGGGGGTTGAACTAGAAGACCTCCAAAATCTCTTTCAACTCTGTTATTCTGTTATTCCTAAGCGAAATAGCTAAGGTACTCATTGGGACCCTATCTCTTTTGCTCCCTCTGGACTAATGGGTTAAAGAGTTGCCTCTATAAATTCTTTTTAATAAGATTTAACAATTATTATTTTATTATTAATAATATAAAATTATTATTATTATTATTATTATTATTATTATTATTATTATTATTATTAT